TCACTATGAACAATTGCTCCTTGATGGTTCTTGTTGAGTAATTTTGTTCAATAAGGGTCTGTCAATACAATTTGCTTTCAATTGTCAGTTTATACAATAGCAAGAATAATGGGCTCACTCAGGTGCACTTGGAAATTGTAATAAAATATTAATTTGGGGGAAAAGAAAACTGATAATCATCTGCTTTAGTATTCTACAGTTATGTTTGAGTTTTTTGAGAAGCTCCCTGCAATGAATGTGAACATTGCACTGTATATTAGACAAAGAGTCACAGACAACCAGGCAGTAAAACACTGAAAAGGGGATATCCTCTGTATAATGTATTTTATGTGAAGGAGGAGTCCTGTCATTACCTAGTCCAAGACAGCTCTGAGCAAACTGTCCTGTATCACTTTTAAGTTTCTGGAAAGTAAACGCATCCTCATTTCTTGCATATAATATAGTTTTTGAAGTTCACAGGGGTGGATTGATTTATCAAGCCTAATGTCTTTGCTTCCATTTTCCTAAAGCGTAAAAGAGCTGGATAATTAACTCTTGCAAAATAAGCGGCAGGAAATAACTGAAGCCCATACTTCATTTAAAAGTCACACCAAGATACTTTCACAGAAGCTTCAGAGAGATGCTCTGTGGATGAAACAGGGGACAACGATCCAACTGCTGACAACACAGGGAGACCTACCAAGATACTTTCACAGAAGCTTCAGAGATGCTCTGTGGATGAAACAGGGGACGACGATCCAACTGCTGACAACACGGGGAGATCAGAGGATTCACAAGCAAAACGCAGCACTGATATTCATAGAAAGGTGTGTATGGAAAGAATAATTTTAATGTTTTTTTCCCCCCCTCTCCTGCTAATGTAGTTTGAATGCTGAACAGTATGAAAGGGGTCTGGGAGGTTCACTTAACAGGAACTTTTAAATAGTTTCTCATAGCCTGACATCCCATCTCTAGTTGTTCTTGTCAACAAACTCAGGAAAGGAGTTCAGCTGGAAAGAAACAGTAGGAAAGGTATTGGCTTTCCCTCCCTTCCTTTCCAACTCAGCAAGCTTAACAGTCGGTCTGACACTCCTCAAAGACAGCAGCATACCCTGAATTTGTCTGTCCGTAACTTCTGCCAGGCAACATGGGTACGCATTTCCATACCAAACCCTTTACACGCGACTGAAATCAAGAGCCGTCAATTACACAGCAAGAGTAGTAAGCTAGGAATTTCCCCCAAATGGAGCAAACACCACTGTACTTAGTTTGGAAGAGCTGGAATTTGAAGGAATAGATGCAGCACTGGCAATTTAGCTATCTGGCTTTTCACAACATGCATATATATGCGTATGTTGGGGGTGTGTGTGGGTATGCGTAATTATGAAGGAAGGGGTAAGCTTCCACAGCTCATGTCAGTGTAAGTAGGATGAGAAGTGTACACTGCTACGTCCTTTTAAGAACTCCATTTAATATCTGCAAGGAAATCCCCTTGAGAAAAAGTACTTACTGCTTATGTGAATCCATCTGTCATTAGAGACCTACATCAAATAAGTCACGTCAATTTGTACTGCTAACCGGTGGGATAACTAGAAACTAAGTAATTTGTGGCATAAATGATAGCTAAATCAAAAGGAAGCTCTGGTCTGAAAATGGGCTTGGGTTTTTTTGCAAAAATCTAGGATAGATATTTGGAGGCCTGCTGAAAGCTTTGTTTCTAGTGAAATGGCTGTACCGCAGTGACAGACTTTTGATGTAACTATCAAATATAAGCACGGTTGCATTAGCATAGTTATGTCTAGGCTTAAAGAACAGCTACATTTGAGGCCACCTACTTATGCAGAAAGATGTAAAGCCCTGTGGTAGCAGTATAAATTAATCTTTAAGTTGGCTAAATGAGGATACCTTTTACAGAAGCGAATCTCTGCACGGTGCAAAAGCAGACCCCAAATTACACAAAACCGAACATCAGCTGTTAGTGCGATGGTAAAAGAAATACACTTCCCCCAACTATGGAGTGAAAAGTAGAAAGGGAAAAAAGAAAACCAGCAGCTACATCGCCCTGCCAAGCTGTTTTCCAGATACTTATTTATGGCAGGCTTTCTAGTTTAGTTCTGTGTTTCACCTGGAACATCTGTGGGGAATTTTGTAGAAAAAAGACGTAAAAGCATTTTGTCTTTAGTAAGGAATAAATTTTCTGACTATTTTGAAGTAAATCTGCTGCTTTTAGCTTGAGTTAAAGGTTTTGGTAAATAAAACCCATCTCATTATCTTTGCTCCTGACGACTCTAATAGCAGAATAATGCAGGCATTTTAAGCCTGCCATGTAGTTAAACTCACTGAAATCTCACACATAAGCTATACGTGAAGCAATTAGGTTATAATTCAGCAAAGTTACTAAATGTTAAGTACTTCTGTTAGGTTTATGAAAGCTACTGTCCAATACGAGCCCCACACCTCGGATAATGGAGATGGGGTCACTGCGCTCTCAAAGGCAGCAACGGAGCACGCTTCCCTCCAGTACCAATATACACACGAGCAATCCTCTCGCTTTTAATGAGAGAGGGTAAAGCCTCGGAGACAGCATCAAGACTGCAACGGGCAGTTGATTTTGTCTGCCTGTTGCTGTTCTAACAGCCAGAGGCTGCCATGATAACACAGCTATCACTGCTAAAATACTTTCTTGGAGCATTGTTGCCTTGGGCATCTTTGTTCCTGGGTAAAGCAATACTCAGAAAAAAGGTCAGGTGTTTAGTGCAGTGTTTTTCGATGCAAAGGAACCAAGGGTACATCCCTTCGCTGTTTGTACTAAAGTGATAAAGGATTCAAGGATGAACTTGTATTGCCCACTGAATCATGCACAGTAAGAGATTCAGTTCTGAGTCTCTCACATCCCAGATCAGTACTCCCTTCAACATATTTTTTTTTTTTTTTGGCAAAAATGCAGTAAATGTGTAGGGTTTTTGCTCATATGTACAGCAAAGCTGGTTTTAGCAATTTAGAAAGTCATCGTGAAATGGAAATGGCATCCTCCGGTCATCTCTGTAACAAAGGCAATTCAGAATTAAGATTGTGCTTTATCTAAATACAAATATGATAAAGTAAAAAAGGAACAGTTAAATAGATAAGATTGTTTGGGTACATCTGTTAATAGCAATTTCTGACTTGCACTGTACAGTTTCATGCCACCTGGCCTCCCACACGCACTCTTTCTCAAAGGAACACAACTCATCCATTGGATTTATCACAGTTCTTCACTTTTTGTGGGGCTGCTGCTTGCCTCTTTTTTTTTTTTTTTTCCTGTGGTTCTTGACATGATTAAACTGGAAGAGGGAAGATTTAGATTAGATGTTAGGAAGAAGTTCTTTCCCGTGAGGGTGGTGAGGCAATGGCAGAGGTTGCCCAGAGAAGCTGTTGATGCCCCATCCCTGGCAGTGTTCAAGGCCAGGTTGGATGGGGCTGTGAGCAACCTGGTCTGGTGGGAGGTGTCCCTGCCCTTGGCAGGGGGGTTGGAACTGGGTGGGCTTTAAGGTCCCTTCCAACCAAAGCATTCTATGATGATTCTGTGATCAAACAATAATATTTGTTTCCATTACCTTGCTAGGGTATATGTTGCATACCGTGTAGCTTCATTTCAATTTTTTCCCTGTTTTGAGTATTTCATCAGATTGAATCAGAATTCTTAGTAAAGGACATTTCATAGCAAGATATTATGAACAAATTTTATTAAACAAACCACATTTAAGAGTTCTGATTTAAGTCCAAAAAATGTGATAAAAGGCTCTACAAGCACTCAGAAAACAACAGTCCCGAGGACTTTATAAAATAAACTTGTAGGTAGGTACGTAGTTGAGAAGCCAGTGCATGAGTGCGGTTAAGCCATTTCTAATCTAATAGAATCAGTGATATGCTATATATAACACGATGTTCAAAATGGAATTTTACGGGACCTGGAGTATTTCCTCTTCCACAGAGTTGTTCGGTTAGAGATACCAATCTCATCGTGATGCTGTCTACCAAAATCGCCCAAGGGCTACTAAACACTGTGAGATATCCCAAGAAGAAAAAAAATATGGAAAGTATTTTACAAACGGTTGACAAAAGACACCTGAACAGTAATAAGAAAAGACATCAATGTTGCTGAGAAGCTTCTAGTCAAAGAAAGAAAGTAAACAAAGCAATAATAGCACTTAAAAAAAAGTAAGAATCATCTCATATTAATGAGGCCTGTAATTATTGCAACAGATAAAATGGGGCATAGAGAAGTAGAACAGTTTCTTTTGTATAGCAAATCAATAACATTAGGTAATTTTTCAGTTTTCTTCCTACTTTTACCGTAAGAGATTTTTCCTCTTTAAAAAAAACTGTAAGTAACATTACAGGGAAGATGTTCTGAAAGGATATAAGTGTGACAATATGCCCATGTACAGATTAATTTTACATAGAAATACGTAGTTTGGAAAGGAACAGCACTCATCTTTGACCCAGTTTTTACTATAATTAAGATACAGGTATTCTTCATTTAATAGCTTTGGTGGAAGGTGGTGTTTAATGGCTCCAGAAGAGAATGGATAACACATACAGCCTTGCTGGGAAAGGCTGCCTCTAACCTGTCCTTCTTTCCTGTTTCAGCCCAGTATCTGAGAGCAGCCTGTTTACCCGGCACGGCGTTCTCATTCTTGGCCTACGCTCAACCTTACGCCAACCCTCTGGGGTCCCCCGTGCCATCATACGGCTGTGCCTCTGCTGCGGACCTCGCCAGAGACGGTGCAGAATACCATGTTGGCAACACAAGCAATGAGGATTCTCTCACTCATTTTCAGAGAATTACAGTAGTTCAAATTGTGATAAAAGTTATTGAAAAAGTTAAGGCGGTTTTCACGAGAGACAAGTTGCAACTACAGAACCATATACAGGATTTAAACACTATACCAATACACAATTAAATCTTCCCTTTCCAAATTTGTTTTGCTTCTATGTTTTAGCAAGGGGATGTAAATTTTTAGGGAAGAGTCACAGAGTCATGTAAGATCTGGGATTTTACAGAGGCATTTTTAAAGTTACGTTTCCCTGGTGCACAGGGGCATGCTTCATGAAGGGCATGATGAGAGGATACCAGGCCTTCTCTTCCAATATTTAGGTTGACCACTTAACTACAGATCAGTTTCCCTCACAATTTCTCCTAGATATTGGTTCAGGAAAATGGCTAGTTCCTGAAAAGTCATTTATCTTTTCCATTTCCTTTCAGTTTGGCTTTTTATTGGAAGGGACATCTAATCTCCCTGTCTGACCAATACCAAATTTTGTTTCCCTAAGATGTGTGGAGAGATGGGGCAAAGGGTGAAGGGAAAAATCGATGTGGGGGAATAGGCTGGAATACCTACCAGAGGAAATGCTGGGGGGTAAAGATCCACCCCCTGACACTGGATGTGAGGCCAGGATGCTATTTAAAAATCCCGCCCTCAGGAATCTCGAAAGAGACTTCACCCCAATGGTCGGAAAGGATCCTTTCAAAGAGATAAAAATGATCATTAATCAAATGACTTGTCTTTGGTTGATAAAAGAAGTTGACTGTTTAAAGAAAGAATAACCAAATCTCTGCAAAGTTAACAGTGGTTTCACTGGAACAGATCTTATAAAAAGCAGTTAAAAGTCTTTGCTTTTTAACCAAGTCATACAACACACAGCTTTAACCAGAAAGAGGTTGTTATCTGCATACTTTGCAAATGGAGAATTCCAGCACTCCTAGGACGAATGGAAAAATTTGATATTTTAAAGGCAAATTACACCTACTGGATATTCATAATGCATTCCAAATGACTCTACCATAGAGGCATTTTCCAGTTTTGTATACAAATCAATGAGAGACCAGTAGAGGTGAAGCTATACCAGCAAAGCTGGGGTTTATGCTAGTATTTTAAAGCCACCTGACAAACCACCTGACAAAAGTCACGTCAGGCAAGGGGAGACGGGGAATCAGAATTTGGAGCTACATTACTGACTTCTGTGTCAGGGCAGCTACATCAGTCAGAGCTTCGATCGCATCTCTCACCACCTGTCAATATATTGATGCAGGCAAAAACCAGGAGTATAGACATGACCCCTTTCTGCTTTGCTCTCACCAGAAGCTTAACACATTTTATGCTTTCAATATAACAAACTTTATATTCTTCTCATTGCCTAAAGGTACAGTTTTATTTCTGGAAACAGTGCTTATCTCATCCACCTCTTTTAAAATAAGTACTTGTGACATATCTATTACAGTGATGATAAATAAGAACTCTTTAGAATTTGATCTGCTGTTTCAGCTTTCAGCGTATGTAGAGAGCTCTAGAGACATCATTTCAGCTAGCTCGTGTTAGTGCTCGGTGAACGCCAGCATCAAAGATGGATCTGAAACGAGAGCTCTACACATCTTGCTTAAAAGCACAGGGTCATGATTCTCCCACCTTGCAATAAATTTAAATTGACCATCAGAATAATTTGTGTATTTTTGCAAGTACATCAAGCGAGCATCCATCCAAAAATTTAGGCAGTGGCAAGTTTGTCATCATCATCTTGCAGGTATTTCATAGTTGTTCTTTTAAGAGATAGAAAACATATTAAGATTTATAAACAATGAGAAAGATAAATGGCCCTCTTAAAATTTATGCAACAGTTGGGATTTTTTTTTTAACTAATAAAAGTATAGTGAGGAAAACTTATCCTCAAAACACCCATAGGTATTTGCTGAGCTTAAGTAGCTTAAGAGAGCTTTGAGTTTCTCTCTTCTTTTTTCAAGCAAGAGTTCTATTGTTTCTCCTCAATACACTCACCCTTTAAATTTGTTATTAGACCTGCTGCAGTCTGTGGAAAAAGAATTTGTTTAATTAGTGTTCTGGATGCAGTAGTTTTATATCTGATGGCTAAAGAGAAGCATAAAAGTTTTCCCTCTGGCCATTCCAGAAAAGCCTTTGGCATTCTTGTAAAAGTGTCTCCAAATTCCATGGCTTTCATTTTAAAATATTTTCAGAAGTCATCATGGACAGAGTCAAGAATGCAATATACAGAAATTCAATTTTAAAATGGAAAGTTGTTCCATTAACTCCAAGATGTTTGGTACTAAACAGCATCTTAAACCATGAAGGCTGAAGAATGAACATATGAACACTTCCCAAATAAAACTTTGTTTCTCTGTTTCAAAATATGAGTTATACCAACCATAAAATACACCCACTGTGAGTCACATGCCATATGTACAGACCTTCAGAAAAGTCAAACAGCTTGAGCTTCACCATTGACATTTTCCTACATTTAAATGGTGTTAAATGGCAAATAACTCAAGTTTCCTAGCAGTCTTACAATGTTAGAGAAAGTAATGAAGACAAAACCAAATTTATTTCACTTATTGTACATATTCAGAAATGAAAACAAGGAGCAGCACATTTTGGAGCAATTCAATCTGTGAATACTAAGAAGAGAGCTAGAGGGCTAAAATTACTGAGGCTTTATAAGCAGCAAATAATAAATAGTAGTAAAAAGAAATAAATAATGTTTTTCTCTCACACTTAAAAGGTAGGATTCAGTTGCTTAAGCATAAACGCTTTGTGTCATTTGAGATGCTCTAGAAAATCTGAGACATCCAACATTTGAGCGGCAGAAGATCTGCAAGAGATTTGCACTCTTTGAAAGTGGCAGCAAGAGGCAAAGCAGCAGTTGGGTATCTAAGAGTGGGCACCTAGTGTCATTTTAGGCAAATGAATCCCATCCAAATAGTCCAGTGTCACCTCAAAAATGTCTCCAACTAAGTAGAATACAGAGTTAGAAGAAGACTTCATTTAGTCTCTTCTAGAAGTCCACAAACAGCTTCTGAAAAGGACAAGGTTGATAACATTCAGGCGTGATCAGTATCCATCAACATAAAAATGCAGACAAAGGAGAGGTTTAAAGTTCATTCATCCGAAAACATGCACGGTCTTAAATCAAAATACAGCATATGTCCCAGAATGAACAAATAGGTGCTTTTGGTATTATCGCCTGCACAAAGTGAATAGGGTTTGAGACCCCACAGCATGACTATATGTGTGGAAGTTGATTATCATTGCAGGTAGTTGGGAAAGAAAATGAACTCTTGTAAGTCCCATCAGTCACCGCCAGAAGGACAGAGGTTTGATAAGAGCTTTGGACATTTACAGTAATTTAGAAGCTTACTCAAATTTTCACTTGTTTGCATAAACACTCATGAAATATTTGAAAGAAAATCTGCCACGAGGAATTGTGTTCAAGATGGAAAGGGAGAAAGCTCTCTGCTAACACAACAAAGAAGAAGGGAGGTGGGAGCGTGATATTAAAGAGAAAACACCAGCTTCGCAGAAATATTATAAACTTCTGTGAGGAAATCAGTGAAGAAGAATTGCATCTCCTTCTATTTGAACATTTATATTTTTTTATTGGACAATGAAGATGCAGTCTTTCCTCTTTTTCCAAACTGGAATCATGCTCAGCTAAAGAAAAAGTCCACCAAAAATGTGCCTGCTGCTTTATATCCTGCCGCTTTATGCTCCAAATTGTGAAAGCAATATTCAGTTTTTAGAGGTGTATGCTAGCAATAGAAATCTTAATGCTTAATTTAAACAATCTCGTCAAAGCAACCACACTGGACACTTTGAAGATGCCAGGATGTTATTTCTTTAGTTAACCAACTGTCTTGAGAAATGCCATTCTGTCGGCGCACACCATAGAGACTAGTGCTTTACGCTCGTTCTGCTGTTTTGTGTAAAAATTCACACTCAGTTTTGCAGCGGGTGCAGTTACACTAATGGGAAGAGCTTTCAGTATAAGGTCTTACTGGTGCTAAACTGGGAAAAGCAGACATGAATATTAAGCCATGATTCCTCAATGCCCTGAAATAGAGTTGTTATTTAGCAGCTTACAGGCATGGATTTATTCAGAAAAAACCCCAACCTCTCCCCGCTCCATAGTTACATGCTATGAACATTATGCCACCTCACCGTGGGAAACTACATTAGTTACAGATATTAGTTGGAAAAGTGCATTGAAACAGTAAAAATATATGGCAGTACTCTGAATAGCTGACAGTTCGTGAAGTGTACACCATTTACTGAGTCCTGTGATACCAGTTTATAACTCAGCGTAAATTCTTCTGTTTCACAATTATTAGAGCTAAGTGCCTGTGCTCAGAGGCACTGGGGGAGTACTGAATCAATTAGCCCGCCTTCCACCTTCATCTGTTGTTCCAGGGGGAATATCATCCCACAAATTGTAGAATTTGATAGGGAAATCACTGCTATAGCATCCTAAACTGGCACGGTTTTAGTAGCGTAGTATCACACACAGCGGAAGGGCAAGAGTAAATAGCTGGGCAAAGGAAATATATGTGCTTGGTTCAGCTGCAGAGCACAGACGTTAATTCATACGTATTTCTTAGCACCTGCATCACGACACCACGACCAGCCAGAAGGAACAGCCATTTCTCCCTATACCAAAGACACATCCCATGTCCTAGGGCTAGCGGCAACGGAATTGTGCTGAAGAGTCCGACATCTACAAAGGAGAGTAAATTCTGCCACGCGGCTCAACAATAGTACTGAGCGGATGAATGGATGGAGGGATGGATGAAGAGAATGGCACCAAACACGCTGGGTGCAATACCGGAGGAACACCATGGAGTAGACCGAAACACACAACTGCTGTTTGAATGGCTGGCGGAGAGGCCCTTGTGAGCTATAATAAAAAGCATTTAAAAGGAACTAACTAACTTGCACTTTAAAACTCTCAGGGATTGAGCAAGTTGAGAAACGTTAAGCTGATCCATTATTTTTGCTGCCGACACTCTGCAGAAACTTCCAGCAGAAGACCCTCAGTCTTTTCCACAGAAACCGAAAGCAGTTTTATTCTATTAATGACAGTACATACCCACTCACATCTGCTGACTTGAGCACAACCATTCCCACCAGTTTTGCTCCCATGTGCAGTAAAGCACCAGCACAGCACCAGTCGGCCTCGGAGGTCCGCATCCCAGCCTTTCCTCCTCGCCGGCTGTTGGCTTCTTTGCCCCACAACCATGGGGCTGACGCCATGGCAGCCTTTGGTGATATCATCAGAACAACAAGCTATTTTGCATAAGACGACTAGTGGTTTTGTACTGGAATTGTAGTTAATAATTACAAGGTTTTGATTACACCTTGCTTTGACATTTGGTCAAGATGACTTTGATTGATAATAAGGGGTTTGTGAAGGGAGTAAGGGTATGTAAAGTCCTAGAAATTGATGAAGAACATCTGGAACCGATTGTGTGAAGCTACTGAGCATGGATGAGCTATATGACAACCTGGCAAAGTGGTCATTCGACTAATTAACTTGGCAATGAAATTAGTTTTTAAGGCGTCCTATAGTAACCTGCCTTCATTATAATACTAAAAATCACACCCACAGGTCAAAAAGACTCTTGGCCAAGTGAAGACCCTTCCCCTGAGCATGTGTAGTGGTAGAAATGATCATATAAGCG